CTGCCCCCTGACTGCCCCGACTTTTCAAGTATCACGGAGAGTGGCTTGGCGACTATATCAGCTGATTCCCTCAGGACTCTGGGATGCATCGCATCCGGTCCCATAGACTTCTGTATGTTCAGGTTCCTCAGGTGGTCACGAATCTGATCTTCTCTTACAGTGGGAGGGACTTTGCTCCCCCAGTCCCTGCCATACAGTCCATCCACTCAAGAGGTGTGGGAAGAGAGGTTGCCAGTGAAGACCGAGGCAAAAATGTTGTTGAGCACCTCAGCCTTGTCCTTGTCCACTGTTACGTGTTTGCCAGTCTTGCTTATCAGGTGGGAGCATGCTTTCTTTGACCTTCCTTTTCTAGCTGACATACCTGTAGAAGCCCTTCTTATTATTCTTTGTGTCCCTGGCCAAGTTCAGCTCCCGCTGCAGCTTGGCCTTCCTGGCCCCACCCCTACACAACAGGGCAGCGCCCCTGTACTCTTCCCAGGATACCTGTCCCTGCTTCCACTGCCTGTGTATTTCCTTCTTGCTCTTTAGTTTGACCAGCAGGTCTTGACCCAGCCATACCCGTGTCTTGCCTTCCTTTCCTGGTTTCTTACACTTGGGCATCGAGAGCTCTTGCACTGCATGGAAAGATCCATTCTTAAAGATCTGCCTGCTCTGTTCGCCTCCCTTGTCCCTGAGGGCAGTTTCCCAGGGTATCCTATTGACTAACTCCTTGAAGAGCTGGAATTTTGCTTTCCTAACGTTCAGGGTCCTGACTTTACTCTTTGCCTGACCCATATCCCTCAGACTGCAAACTCTACCAGCGCATGATCACTGCAGCCCAGGCTGCCTCCAATCTCACCGTCACCAATTTGCTCGCTTGTGTTGCTGACCAACAGGTCCACTGTTGCATCCTCCCTGGTAGGACTGTCTACTACCTGGCTTAAGAAGTTATCCTCAATGCACTCCAGGAGTCTCCTGGATTGCCTACAGCTCACCGTGCTATCTTTCCAGATGATGTCGAGGTGGTTGAAGGGCCCCAGCAGGATGAGAGCCTGTGAGCACAATGCCTCCTGTAGCTGGACTGAGAAGGCTTGGATAATAGGCTCCCCTTGATTGGGCAGACACCAACCACAAAGCTCCCCTTCTTGCCTTGGTCTCTAATTCTTACCCGTAAGCTTTCACCCTCCTCGTGGCTATTCCTCAGTGACAGCTCTTCACACTCTATCCATTTCTTGATGTAGAGGGCAAGCCCTCCACCCTTTCCTCGCTTGTCCCTTCTGAACAGCCTGTAGCCGTCAATAGCTACACTCCAGTCACAGGATTAATCCCACCAAGTTTCAGTAATGGCAACTAGGTCATAGCTTTTTAGCAGCACAGTGGCTTCCAGCTCCTCCTGTTTGTTGCCCATGCCGTGTGCGTTGGTGTGGAGGCACTTCAGCTGGGCTGTTGGCCACGTCACCTTCTCAGAAGAACACCTTAATTCCTTTGAGGTGTTCCACTGGTCTTTCCCTGCTGGCTCCTATTACCTCAGAAGCCCCTGGCTCATCTCCGTAAGACTTCAAGTGTGCATCAGTGTAGCCAGCACATCTCAGAGCAACAGGCTGAGGGCCCTCACTAGTACCCCGTCCCTCTAACCTTGCCACAGCTTGTCACGGGCAAGCCTGATATTATCCCCCTCCCCTTTCAAGCCTAGTTTAAAGCTGTCAATGAGCCCTGCTATGGTGTGAGCAAAGACCCTCTTCCCCCTTTGAGAAACGTGAATCCCATCTGATGCCAGCAAGCCTGGTGCCGTGTACGCCACCCCGTTATCGAAAAACCCGAAACTGCGGCAGTGACACCAGCCACGGAGCCATGTATTAATAGACTGGGTCTGTCTGTTTCTTCCAGTGTCACTGCCCACAACTGGAAGGAGAGAGTAAAAAATAACCTGTGCTCCAGATCCCCTTACCAACTATCCCAAGGCCCTGAAGTCTCTTTCAACCACCCCTGGACTACATGTTTTGACTTCATTGCCACCCACATGGAAGAGCCATAATGGGTAATAGTCCGAGGGCTGTACCAGGCTAGGAAGTTTCCTGGTGATGTTCTCAACCTGGGACACAGGAAGGCAGTGGACTTCCCTAGGAGGAGGGTCTGGCCAGCATATTGGACCCTCTGTTCCCCTCAGAAGGGAGTCGCCTACAACTATAACCCATCTTTTCTTCGTTGTGGAGGTGGTCATGACACAGGCAGTAGGCTTTTCTGACCTTGGCAGCACATCTGGTGAAGACGGACAGTAATCCACATCATCCACTGACTGGTCTTCCACATCCAGGACCCTCATACCTGTTGTACAGAGGCACTTGGGAAGGCAAGGGCAGGGCACCTGGGAACGTTTGACTTGGAAGAGATTTAAAATTAACATTCAAGTATGAAAGGCCTAATAACCCATGTGAGCAAGTGGAGAAAAAATTACCATTATTAAAATGGCAGAAGAGACAAGGATAACTATACTTATTGTTGACACGAGTGAAAGATCACTTGCTTCCATTCAAATCCTCTCGTATTTCACACTTTTCATATTTTTAGTCCCACACGGACTGAAAACAGCGGGCAGAGACAGATGCTGCTAATAAGGGTTTATTGACATTTCCAGGCAAGACAAGCACAGGCAAGGTACAAAGTCCATCCAGGGAGTCCATTCAGGAGCAGAAGATGGCCAGAAACAAGACTATAATGTACATCCAAAGGGTCTGTTCGAGGAGACAAGCTGCCTACAGCCAAGGTCCAATATCTGTAATTCACTTTTCTTAACAAATTCATTTTCTTTGCAGGCTGCAAATCTTCAATGAGGAATGTTTTTAATATGCATAATTCTGGAGCTATTTCTCCACGTAAGGACTTTGCTCCAAGTGACTTGCCCAACAGGATTATTTTCTCCATCTTCTCTCTATAGTGACTTCTTCATCACCATCCATTGACTGGCCTTCCATATCCATAGCCTCATACCTATTGTACAGAGGCATCGGGGAACGCGACGTGGGCAAGGAGGGGGTTCTCCTCCTGCCTTGAGTGTGGCCTTACTTCCATCCACTCCTCTCCTTTAAGCTACTGCTTGTGGGGGGAGGATACACATTCCCCTTGATCTTGGTTTTTTTTTTTTTTTCCTGGTGGCTGCTCCTCTTTTTGTCTCAGGGAGGGCAGAGCATGGTTCCATCAGTTTGTCTCGTCTTCAGAGTCCCAGATGCTCCTCAACCTTTCTATCTCCTCTCGTAGCTCTGCCACAAAGCTAAGCAGATCATCCAGGTGGTCGGTCACACCTTACACAGCTGTTCTCAACTACTGCCATCTGTTACCAGTGAAATGTCCACAGTTATTCACACTCTGGGTCCATTTGTATTGATGAAGACATCCAAGCCTCCACTGCTGCATTTCCATACATTTCTGCTGAAAGGCTTAGAGATTTTTTTGACCACTCCTCCAGCATGAGTGCCACTCGAGACAGTTGTAACTCAGGCACATACATTACAGAAGTGTTTCTGCTGAAGTAGCATTACTCTTATCAGAAACTATTTATTCTGGAAGATAGGATTAACATAAGCATTCAGAATTAGCTTTTAAAAATTGACAAAAAGTGAGCTAAGCTAGTTAATAAAAAAATGTTGCTTGAGATGTCATAAGATACAGTACATTAGAAGTTTTAGAACTTGGGGAGTGTAAGAAGTCAGCTGAGAAATTAATTGTGCAATTGTGTCAATACACTTATGCTAGTGCTTTACACATGCCATTTATTTCTCCTCGCTGAGTTCACTATCTCTTTTTGCAGAGTACACTTCATAGAAAAAAATATTTACTAAATATATACTACCATTTAAAATTGCTCTACTCGGTTTTTAATACTTCAGCTAAAAAGTAAACAGTTAACACCACAAATTTGTTGTACCTTTTTTTTGCCCCTCTAGAGACATTCCTCTGAAGAGTGAATTGAAGACAAACCAGACATCACTGTCTGCTTCAATACCTCTGCCAAACAACTCCTTTTAAAATATTTATTTAAAAACCAACAGTCTTCTGCAATTGGGAAATATTAGGTGCAAAAATAAAAGTCAGATCAGTCTCAGTATGAAAAATATGAATTTTACACTAGGCTCAGATGAAATAAGCCTCTACCAAGATAATTGTTTCCCCCTGATACATGACACTCAGCCTACGTTTGGCCCTCAGAATCATCACATGGACTTTCATCCTAAATGGAGCAAGATTTTAAAAGGCAATGCATTAACACACAGTGGAATAACTAAGGATAAAACAGTTCTGAACCCACGCTGCGTGTATTAAATGCTGCTAGAGAGTTTTACCTAAAAGATCCTCCTTGGTACTCTTCCGGTAACAGTTTTCCATCTCTTGCTTTCTTTGCTAGAGCCTAAGGAAAATGAAAGAAGAAAAAGAAGAGGAGAGAAAAAAGAAAGTGTTGTAATAGACTAATTTCTTTTAATTCAGTAAGACATTTTAAGTACCATATAGCCATTAAAAAGTCATCTGCTTTTGGATTTAGGAAAGTACCTCAGCAACGTTGTTGTAGCTGCAATGATTTGGCAAAGAGACTAGGACACAAAACTTCATTTTCCCAACAATATTGGGAAATATAAAAATAAGGTCTCTTTAGATAGAAGCAGTGGGAATCAGGACGAATTATTCTTACAGTAGTTCTCTCATAAGGAAGAAAGGACTGTGCTGACCTCTAGAGAAAGAGTACTCATTGGTGGGTCAACAGACAGTTAGTTATTCAGCCACCAACCTGTTCCTAACACCCTGTGAGTACCCAATGGAAAAGGTGGCGAGTGGAAGTGCGTAGGATGAATCCTCCATTAGTAGCAACCTTTCCAAAATGAGGAGCTCTTCAACTCACAGCAGAGACTGAAGTGGGCGTATATATACAGGACAGATATCTTTCCTATTCATACTGAATACATGTAATGTGTTTAGCTTGTATCATATTTATTCCACAAGTGGAAAAGTCCATGGAAAATGTTGTATTGTGACAATTGTCTTAAAATGTCACAATGCTGGTCTATGTAAAATACTGCTCATTAGTCTGAGGAGTTTAACATTACCTTTTTCGTGACATTCTCAACTGAACTGCATATTGAAAAAATACGGACAGAAATAAGTGCCATAATATAACTGCACAGAGAGTAACACAAGCAACTACAAGCAAATTTCTGGGAAAAGAGGTAAAACAACATCCCAAACAAACAAAATGTCAAACCCAAAGACTAGAAATACTGAAGAAATTACCATTATCTAGCTGCCTCATGAGGATTAAAGAAATACAATGATATTAAATTGCAGAAGTCTGTACAGGTTTATTTTTCAAATAGTTTAGCCAGCATGCAACTAAATAACATGTTGGCTAAGTTATCATCAATTAAAAATCAACCAAGTTGCAAAATTAATAATATTTTGAAGTCTAAGGAATGCTGAAACTGCATTAGATTCATTTTGAAACTGTTTCTGTTATTACTGATGTGTATCTGGGTCATGCCACATTTTCTGCTACAAAAACTGTATAGCTGCTATATTCCTCAACCTACTGTACATTTACGACCTACCTTTGCAGAGGCAGCAATTTCCTTTATTCCCTTGGCAGCAACATCTTTTATGATCGGTGTAATGAGACCTCGGTCTGTTGCCACAGCAATAGAAATGTCAATGGACTGCAGCTGTCTGCAGAATTCTCCATCCCAGGTTACATTCACATCTGGCATTTGCTAGGAGAGAGTTAAAAAGACAGCTGTTAAAAGAACACTGGTGCAATCAATTATCAAGAAAATGGAAAATCCTTTAAGACATGTAGCTACGTACAGGCATTCACCAAATTAATTACACACTGCTGTCTGTAAATGAAGGCAAAAGAACAGGTCACATCTGCCATCAGGACTGCCACAAGCAAGCCAAAAAAAAAAAAAAAAAATCACTGTGAGGGCCTAAGAACAGATGTACGTTTGCATTTATTTTATTTTATTTCATTTAACCTTACTTTGTCAAAAAGCATCAATGTATGCTACAGGAACTGAAAATGTCAGGGCAGCCAGAAGGTTTTTTGGTGCTGCTGGAAAAAAAAAATTAACAAATGCCTACCTCCTTCAGGAGTCACTGATACAATCTTACAGATGCCCAGCATGCAAAACCAGAAAACAGAGTCATTTCACCCTCCGAATAAATCACAGGATATTGACTTGAAAAGCATGGAAACGGACATCCTACTATATCCATTTCCACTTGTGTCTCAAGGATGACTCTTAATGGAAGCTACAAATAATATGCTGCAGGTACGCTCAACTGTTACTCAGACGAGGTTCTCCTAAAATGCAACAGATTTTTTTTTTTTTGTGTGGACACAATTAAAACTGAGATAATGTTTACTGATAAATTCAATGAGGTTTCCTGAGTTTGCCATATAAAGCTGAAACAGTTTTGGGGAAAAAATCCCCCCAACATGCAGGTGAAGTCTCAAGTAACTGGTCATAGATACTGTGAAAGTATTATTTCTAATAAATCCAAGATTAGTATTTAGTGACCTTAAAGAAATTAGGAACTAGGAATTTGACTTCACACTGGAGAAGTTATCCCAGAAATCAGTATGGGAGAGACACTATCTCTATCTAAACTAACTCCACTCCTAGAAGAAGGGTGTAACAGTACTCTCTGTTCTTACACTTCAACACCAGATTGTATATTTAAAAAAAAAAAAAAGTAGTACTCCTCCTTGCAAATTAAATAAACTTTAGGAAAGTGCCACAGTACACACAGCTGTCAGATGCCTTCAAGTGGGTGTTGTGTAAGTATGACTCTCTATATAAAGTATCGAAAAGAGATGGTAGGGACAAGGAGTTTTTCCTATCAACTTCAATGTGATTATAATAGTCTTAATTTTGATGTAGACCAGACAGTACTATTTCTCCCATCACTTCAGCAATTAAAGACTGTTTATTTTTAAAGAATGGCTGCTATAGTGGCTATTATTAGTAAGCCCAACCACTTGTGGATATCAGCCTGGTAACTTTTATTCCTTTCTCCTCCCTACTTATACCAGAAAGCCAGAATTGTTCTAAAGGGTTATCATCTGGTGAGCCCACCAGCACATTCAAAACCCTCTGGTTGTCAAATGGCAAGACCAAGCCAAAAAGTAGAATTCATAATTGGACTTGTGATCCTAAGAACTGTGAAGGAGAAATTTAGCATGTTAAAGAATTGATATAACCAGTATCTTGAGGTGTTTGTCAACCAGTCACAACAACCCCAGCTCCCTCAGCCTGTCCACACAGGAGAGATGCTCCATACCTCTGATCATTTTTGGGGCCCTCCTCTGGACCCACTACAACAGGTCCACGTCTTTCCCATGCTGAGGGCTCTATAGCTGGACACCATACTCCAGGTGGGGTCTCACCAGAGCTGAGTAGAGGGACAGAATCACCTCACTCAACCTGCTGGCCTTTGGCTGGCTTTCTGGGCTGAGAGCACACACTGTAAGCTCATGTCCAGCTTTTCCTCCACCAACAACCCCCAGGTCCTTCTCAGCAGGGCTACGCTCAATCCCTTGATCTCCCAACCTGCATCAATACCAGGGGTTGCCCTGACACAGGTGCAGGACCCAGCACTTGGCCTTGTTGAACCTCTTGAGGTTCACACAGGCTTGTCCAGATCCCTGTGAATAGCATCCCATCCCTTAGGCATGTCAACCATACCACTCAGCTTGGTGTCATCCACAAACTTGCGGAGAGTGCACTCGATCCCACTGTCTCTGTCACTGATGACGATATTAAGCAGTACTGGTCCCAATATGGACGCCTGAGGCACACCACTTGTCACTGATGTTCATCTGCACATTGAGCCATTGACCACTGCCCTCTGGATGCAACCATCCAACCAATTCCACCTTCACCAAACAGTCCACCCATCAAATCCATACCTCTCCAATTTAGAAAGAGGGATGTTATGAGGGACCATGTCAATGGCCATAGAGACATCCAGATAGACAACATCTGTGGCTCTTCCCTTGTCCACTGATGTAGTCACTCCATCATAGAAGGCCACTCGTTTGGTCAGGCAGGACTTGCCCTTGCTGAAGCCATGCTGGCCATCTGAAATCACCTCCCTGTTCTCCATGTGCCGTCACATGGCTTCAAGGAGGATCTGTTCCATGATCTTCCCAGGCACAGAGGTGAGGCTGACAGGTCAGTAGTTCTCAGGGTTCCCAGGTTAGAATTTCCTCTAACCCAACGCACAAAAACTCCAGCTTCTCAGAATCAGACTTAGAACACCAACTCATTTATAACTAAAGATGCACTGATTTTTACAAAGCTGTATGCATCACCATTTTACTAGGTTTGTCTATTGAATTTCCTTCAAAGTTAAAAATGACACACTACAGATGACTTTCATGTTGGCAGCGCAGAACCATCTAATCTGAAGTTCAAGATTAAAATTCTGTATTACATAAGTGTCAGCTGAAAACACTAGGAAAAATACATATCTAATCACAGATTAAATATTTTTATTTGTCTATCAGAAAGAGAAACCATATTTACAGAATTCATTGGCTAGGTCATTTTGTGATGGCAGATAGAAAATCTTGTTTTAAATAATGGCAACAAACAACATGCATAGTCCACACATATGCTCCTTCAAAGTACAGTAAAGCAGCCTAACAGTTAAATGGACAGGAAGCTATGGTCTTTTTGTGTAGAATAGGAAAAAACAAAACCTAATCTTTCATTCCACTTTCTCTGTCTCCTGTTCCTTTTACCTGCTCTCTGGTGCAGAAATTTGTTAATCCATGCTCACAGCTAGCAGTTCACAGTAATTTTTGGATGTCACTATTTCCTTGTGTAAGGTCTCATTAGGCCACAAACACAAGTTTCGTGCTACATTCACATCTAACAAACACATAGCAAGCATACTTAGCTCCTCCTGTTTCTGTATAGAATAACTTGGGAAGCTTCCTCCAGTCTATTCAGTGTCCAGGATTTCTCTCAGACACCTGCTTATGAAAGTGCCTAGAATCCTGCTTATTTTCTGTCAAAATCAATAGCTCTTGCAATTAGACATTAATATTTAGATCATGTTTGGCTAGAAATTTCTCAAGTCCATTCCACTGCGGTGTTCTCTCTCTTAATTCCATATGGCCATGGGAATAGTTCCTCAACTTAAAATGTAACCTCCTCCTTCAGCCTTTGACTAGATAAAATAATCCTGGCAAATGATAAAAAATGGCTCTCACTCCCTTTCTGATATTTTTATGTTGTTATGAGGTAATGCAACTAGTCTGGATCCTTGTTCTGCTTTATCTTGTGTGTTTGTAGCTTTTAGACTCTGCTGCTGAAACAATGAAATGACACCAGAAATGTTTAGCTTTTCTGGGCATTTCCCATATAGCTAGAAGGTGTAATCACTGGGTAATCAAGAAGGTATAGATAACAAATCCATGGCAATACCAAACTTCTTCAAAATTTGCATTCATTCATTGTCACACATAAGTACATTGCCTTGATGATGAGGTCAAACTCCCTAAGATAGTTTCAGGATCAAGCATGTGTCCCCCTTAATTACCTGTCTACGTGACAGAGATCTTTTCCAGTTGTTAATGGTCACTGAAAGACACTATTTCCTCCTGAACCTTAAAAATACCGGCCTTCAGGCTGGTCAAAACTCCCACCTATGACTTACTCCAAAATTATGTGCAAACTTAATTTAAATCAAAAACACTCCACATCTAAGTGAAACCACCACACAGTTCTTTCTTTTCAGAAGTTTGGAAATAAGATTAATTTTACATTATGTTTTCCAAGTGATTATATTTGAGACACTCTGGACTAAGAGTAGACAGTTCCAAAGTGTGGCAGTTCTCCTAATGAAAGATTTCTGAAACCTTTGAGTTTCAAAAAAGTGGCACTGGGAGTGTTTTCCAAGCAGAGCAATCGACTCAAATTGGAAGGCAATGTACCCAGTCCGACCAAGAGAACACGCAAATAGCGTATGGAGACTGTGAAGCCTCTGTAGTTTGGCATAGAATAAATAGACCATAATGAAATTTAAGGTCTTAACTTCAGAATGTATCACAATTGTTTAACTTTTCCATTGACAAAGCGAACAATGACAGCTTTAATTTTACCTGGGATATTAAAAACCCTGACAATAAGAGATAAAGAATTACAAGCTCTGCCATGATCGCATTCATATCTCCATATAGGCTTACAAAATATTTCTTGTCTCCTTGGGAGTTTACTATAAAACTTTTTTTTTTAAAGTCAATTATTCACTTACCTTCAGAGTAACTGCAGTTGCCTTGATAATAAAGTCATTTACAGATACTTTAATGTCATCTGCAAAAAGAAAAAAAAAAAAAAAAAAAAAGACAGTCATTGCTCCTAAGATTTGTTTATCAACATTTGTGTGATGACAAGATTCCCACGATTCTGGCAATGTTTCAAAGAAGCAAATCTGCTGAATGTAACTAATCTTCAAACTACAACCATAAAAGCAAGAAAACTTTTCTCCCCCTTGGGACAAAAGGAGTATCATCAAGGAAAAGTCTCCACGGCAGAGACATTCTTGCTAGCTGTTACGAGAAGATCAAAAAAGCTTTACTCCTAGTAATACTCAAAGTATCACTCCTCATTCTTATAAGTAGCAGCCCATGTGTGTATTATGCTTTACATATTTACTGTCTATGTAGAAATCTATTGTTGGATCTAAATATAGAGAGATAATACTGGAGACTACTATTTTTTATGTTGTGTGATGCATTAACAGGAATAATTTCAGAGATCAGCTTTTATTCAGTTATAAATCAGAAGTACGTTGTTCTCCAGTGACCATTATGGCCTATAGTGTAAGAATTAGCAAGGTGAAGGCATCTGTCAATCCTTAAAATGGCTTAAGGATATATTCAAAAGCAGGCTGCAAAATAACAGGAGAGCGACGAAGTTGTTAACTTAAAAGCAAAGCTACCAACAAAAAAAGGTAGCATTAGTCAGAAGGAGATAAAATAACTTTGGGAGGACTGGATTTTTTCAATGTGAGCCTAAGAAATACTGCGTAACACTTCATACATTTGCTTTCTTTCCCCAAAAGCTTGGGAGATAGGAGGGATGAAAACAATGACTATATTTGCTCTGCATTATTTTCTTCCAAGTTTTAGGAGATCGAAAGTACTAACTAAAATAAGGACTGACAGCAGAACCAAAGGCTATCGATACAATACAGAATATGCCTCAGTTGCTACAACGTTATCCTGAAGATGCATGATACTTACACAATATTAAATGCATCCCAATAAAAACATTACTCTACTACCATCACCACTGCTGTCAGTAAATAGATGAAGAAGCAAAAGTACTTCATTTCCGAGTCCGTCTTATGGCATGTAATACACATACCTTTTGAAAAGCTTTTGTAAAGGGAGACTTATTTATAGATAATTATATTAAGTGAAATCTTCTTAAATGTTCATAAATTTGGAGCAATGAACTAAGTATCCACTTACCACATAATGGACCTGCAACGTTTGCCATGATTAGCTATCTATGGATAAAAAGTGAGGTAGAATTGTAACGTAACACAATGGAATTTGCAAGTACTACGGTGCATTGACAGAATTTCACATCAGACAAACCTGTATCTTGGTCACCAAATATATTTTGGTATTTTATATTTTGATATTTTATATTTGATTTATATATTACATTCCTAACCCTTAGCAAAAATGTCACTGTCCATGAGGGGGGCAGGAATACAGTGAAAATATAACAGTATAGTTAAACGAAGTATGTCTGATAATATTTCACCCTCAATCATTGAGGTTTACAGTTTAAAGACAGGTAAACAGCACCAAGAACGTTTTGGTCAAATCACTGAAAGACTGTAATAATTTGCTTGAAGAACAACTAATTGTTGATCATCGTCCAAAGCTACAGTAATCAAAACATTACTTTGAGACTACCAATTCACAATGTGTCACTGATCAGAAGTATTTGTGACTTTGGAGTCTGCATTTCATTGACTTGAATCTGACAGTTGTCTCCCAAGTGATAGAATACCATATTTTGCTCTCTACCAAATTATTTATTACAGAGAAGTTATTTAATGCACATTGTTCAATGAATACTTTGTACCTAGGAATAAAGGGACACATAAAAGTGTTTATCTCCCTGGGATACCAAGAAATGCCAACTCCTCATTTTTATTTTCCAGAAATGCAGCCTTCAGATGTACAGCAATGCATTGCAACAACTCATATTTCGTCCCCTGTCAATCTTTCAGGCTCTCTTCCTTGTCAACTTGGATTATGTTCTTTATCTTTTCAAAACTTTTGTTAAACACAGCCTTACTTACTACCTAGAAAACTTAAAAAGGTCCTTTTACTCTTCCATGACTTTTCAAAGTCATTACTATATTTTGCTTTGCAAGTAATAACTGACTGATGATAACTAAAGTCTCAAAACTGACATAAAAGCTGAAAGTAATTTAGAATTCCAAATCATATTCCTTAGTATTACTATCACATGCAGCCTCTGAAAAAACAGTTCAGTAAAAAGTTAGGACTCAAGTTGATTGAATGTCCAATAATTAATGATTAACAGTGTTTCTCTTTTTACAGCCTAACAATCCTTGTGATTTGGGGTCAGTTTTCAAGGCTAGTGTTCAGATCCTTCTAACTGGCTTGTACAAGTGTGAAGATATTTGTGGCCTAATTCTGTAAGTAAAAGTCTCCAGGTCTCACAGATTTCAGTTAAACCTTACAATATGCAGCATTTCTCAGAACTGGACCTAATTTGTACAGATTAAATAAAGTTACAGCAATGTCAGCAACAGGTGGCCCCAGCTTTCATGGTCTGCTCTAAATGCTTCAATAAAGCAGAAGAAAGCACTCGGTTTCTCAATCAGTACAGTAATAAAAATGTAAATTAAAACTATCCTGCATAAAACTATACTGAATGCAGAGTTCACATGGCTTCAGAAAACTATCATTTGAACCTATGAGCTTTCAAACCATGATAGCAATGATGAAGCTTCAGAAGAAAACTTGAAGTGTCACATGTCACTGCCTTAGACCTATAAATATTCACTTTTCATTATTGTGGTAATGTCTAAAGCAGCATACACTATTAATTCTATTTCTACTACTTGGTGTAATAATGAGTATACACATTTACAAGCTGAACTATTGAGACCAAATGATTTAAATGGTACCAGAAAAAAGGACTAGTTCAACAACACCAAAATGAATCCATGTGAGATTGTTTATGTACCTTCCTCTTGTGTTAGAGAGCTGTATACTCCCATGAATGTCTTTACTCTTTAGAAGCAAACTTTGATCTTAAAAAAAAAAGTATAGTAAATTAAAAAACCACCTGTTTCTCCTCATTATAAGATAACGGGCATTCAGAATTGTTTTCTGTAACTCAGGTAACAGACTTAGTACCATATATGCATGTTTCCTTCAGCAGAGCTTCACTGCTTGCTTGTGCAGCCTGAACAGTGTGGAAAATGAAGTTTCATAAAATGGAATGAATGAAAATTAAATTCATAAAGTGGCAGAGATTAATCTGCATGCCTAGAACAAGATCCAAACTTTGTAGGCATTGAAAAGTCAAACTCCATAAACAAATGAACCATTTTTCCCACCAGCATAATTAGCTAGGCCTCTCAAAAAGTAATCAATATTTTCCCAATTTGATTTGAAAAGGGATCTCTCCTCTAAAAGAAAGAAAATTCATTTAAAAACCTACACCTAATTGGTTTGGCTGCAACTGATGAAGCAGATATCAACTGATTTCAACCAATTTCTAGCAGATAAAATGCAACAGATGTCATGTCATTTTAGGCAGAGATAAGATATTGCCCATTTAATAAACCTGCTAACCTCAGACACTAGAAATACATATTCTTTGTGAACAATATTCCACATTTTATAGCAACTTAAGACCAGAAAAACTACTTACAGATATCGCAGTCAATCATACTACATGATCTTGACCTATTTATCAAGTTCTGCCTCAAAAACAGATAGATTTCCTGAGATGGCTACTCTTCCTGGACAGCTGTATCCAAACCTCAATGTATTAGAATACATCTCCATGTATTAGGATTAGAGCTCCATGGACAAGCAGGAAATTAAAGTCAGGCATTGCTGCCACCTGGGCCTGTCTCCCTTCCCCCAGGCTACTGCTTCCTACTTTGCACCATCACCTCAATCGTGCTTGATTAACTGTTTTACAGGTCTGATGCCAAAATGTATCTGTAAATTAGGACAGCTTAAAACAACTCAAGTTTTGGCATCAGAAAAAATGAAGATACTACAGAGACATATGAAGCACAGGTTTTCAACTGTTTAATCCAGCTTTTCTGTGAAGAAAAATTTCTCCAAGAAAATCTACAAGCTCTGCAAGTAGCTTAGGAGATAAATGAAGATGGAAGATGCGACTGAAAAGAACAGGGAATTAATTCATTATTTTTTTCCACAGCACCACGTTGGTGACAGAGATACGCTTGCTGAGAAAAAACAGTCTTATAGCGCAACTGCTCAACAATTCTTTCTGATCTTATTTCATTACAGTCCTTTAAATTCTTTTTCAAGATGTGTATTTTATGGAAAATAGCTTTATAAGTGTGATGTAAAAAAGAAACATTACATTACAAAATAAATTTTTCCGCAAGCTTAAATACGAGTCAAAAGAAAATTGTACATTGTACCTAGAAGGACAGAGCATGACTGTATTTTACTTTGAAGCTTCCCCTATCATCTTTCACATGAATAATTTCAGATTTTAACCATCAAGAAACTGAATATTGCAGCATCTGGATGGAAAGAAACTGAAACCTACTGGACAATGCATAGCCCTATATTAAATTGCAGTTGTCTATAGTGTTGTGTTAGTTGGCAAGTAACACCTGTCTTGGTAAATTGTCCAATTCAATAATCACAGAGAACTACAGCTTGATTCCAACATACAGAATGCTGAAAAAGATTATTTGAATACATAGTGTTCTGCCTACACAAAAATCTACACCTCCTGAGCAAAATTATGTAAACAAGATAAACTATGCATTGGTACCACACGTTAGATTAAATAAGTTTAATCACTAACCTTTGGCCAATTCTTTTCTTAATCTCAAAATAGCATCAATGTCACAGTCAGTAGCAGCATATGCATGAGGTATAGTAGTTTTAGACTCTGTTAATCTCTTGGCAATAACTCTTCGGATGTTGCTAGCTGGGATTTCTGTGAATGTGCCCTGAAAGAAATCATATGCTGCATATTAAATATCAAGAGAGCAAACATACTTCCCCTTTGCTGAAACAGGACTCCAGCACTGATGTGTTATCATCAGTGTCTCCTGCTCACTTCAAATATCCCCTAGATATTAAAAAGTGATATATTCCAGCTACTGAAATTAATACGATTAAGATCCCTTGAGTGTTCCATCTAGTCTATTCCACTTAAGTTGGATCAATGCAACAAGTTTTATAAAATAAAGACAGTTTCATTTTAGAGTATAGAATTCATCCTACTGTTCTAGCAGACTGCTTAAAAGAAAAAAAAATTCCGAACAGTCAGGCATTAATTCTCAGCCAGAGTATAAGCACTGTTCAATCTGCCAGACCTGGCATATTGCTCAGAATATGCTTTGTTCCATTTAAATTATAATAGAATATTTCCTCAGTAAGTTAATGTTTTTGCAGTTCCCCAAGTGGTTTCTTAAGACAGGATTTACTGCATATCATTTTTGCTATTCTTCTCTCTCCTGCCAGATATATTCAGTGATGTTTCAATGCAGAAGTTTTCCCAAATTGTTCATAGAAGCAAGTCAACTTCCAAGGAATCTCTTGAAATACCAGTAACTACAGAAAGCAAGAAAGTGATTCTGTAAAACATTCTTTTGTATACCTAGTCTATAGCACATATGCTACATACTGAGTAGTACTCAACACACAACAAATTCCAACATGTATGTTCTGGTGCAATCATAGGAACATTTTTTTCTGTATTGAAAAAATACCTAAGTTTGAGCTTTGTGGGCTGTTTGGTTCTTTGTACTGTGCAAAAAAAAAAAAAAAGCAGCATTTTCTGAATATTATGAATTGTAGCTACATTGTAAACTTCAGCCTGTAAAGATACTTCAAGATTAGTTCAAGGGCCAGAAATGTTTTTTCACCCTGTTTTTCACAAAATCTTTTCAATTTCTAGTATTGTGCATTTCCGCATGGACATTTATTCTTTAAAAAATAATTTCTGGTATTTCTAACATTTCAAATCAACACAGAAACTGTATTTAGGTGCTAGAGTTGGCAAAATTACTCTTCAAAAGCAACCACTAAATCCTTCCCTTCCTTGCTTCTTGATAACTCATCAATGGATATTTACATATACTTATATTGCAGGAAAGCAAATGAAGTACAGTAAAAATAAATCAGGATTCAAGTTTCTCTGAGTTTGGAAACACATGCTAACATACTGATCTTGCAGGGACTGAGGAAAAGGGTGTATTGTTCATTTCCAAACTAGTGACATCTTGTGTGGGAACTGAAATAGAACTGCAGCCTCCCTGCCCTTCCCCTTTCCAAGGCCTGCAATATAAACTTTTTCATGGCTTCAATTTGTGAGTTACACAAAGTAGAGCGCAGATCATAATTTCAAGAACTCTGCAGTTTGAATTACACTGTTTTAGAATCAAACGTACTAAAAACTGCACATACCTGGGCTTAGCATCTGGGTGGCCTTAGTTTTCTTGTCTCTCCTGTTCTGGAAATCTCATATAGCTACCTAAGTAGCCATGGCAATACTTAACTGTAGCAATGTTGAGGACTTAACAGACACCTTACCAGTGCAGCAGGTTGTCCTGGTGTGGAAACTGGTGGAACAGCTGGCCTTGGATAAGCAGAAGTCACAGCTGTTGCTTGCAAAGCAGAAGCCACTGCAGTAGGCTGAGGAGGAGCTGGAGAAACCAAAGGTTTCATTTCACTGGTTTTGCCCTTGTGCTTCTCTTGCAGAAGTTTGAGAGCATCCCTGGTGATTAAACACAATGAAATACTGACAAAAACTATTTCAAAAATTTCCAAAGTATTACTATTCCATTACTTATTTTACTTAAATAGAATCATAGAATGGTTTAGGTTGGAAAGGACCTCGAAGATCATTGAGTTTCAACCCCCCTGCCATGGGCAGGGACACCTCCAACTAGACCAGGTTGCCCAAGGCCACATCCAGCCTGGCCTTGAACACCTCCAGGAATAGGGCCTCAACAACTTCTCTGGGCAACCTGTTCCAGTGCCTTAAAACCCTCAAACTAAAAAATTTATTCCTAATGTTTAATCTTAACCTGCCCTCTTCCAGTTTAAAGCCACTCCCACTCATCCTATCACTACATGCCCTAGTAAAAAGTCCTTCCCCAGCTCTCCTGTAGGCCCCCTGTAGGTACTGGAAGGCCACAATAAGATCTCCCCGGAGCCTTCTCTTCTCCAGGCTGAACAGCCCCAACTCTCTCAGCCTCTCCTCATAGGAGAGGTGCTCCAGCCCTCGGATCATCCTCGTGGCTCTCCTCTGGACACGCTCCAGCAGGTCCATGTCCTTCATATGTTGGGGACTCCAGAGCTAGATGCAGTACTCCAGGTGGGGTCTCACCAGAGTGGAGCAGAGGGGCAGCATCACCTCCATTGACCTGCTGGCCACACTTCTTTTGATGCAGCCCAGGATACAGTTGGCCTTCTGGGCTGCGATCACACAGTGCTGGCTCATGCTGAGCTTCCGGTCAATCAGTACACCCAGGTCCTTCTCCTCAGGGCTGCTCTCCAGCCATTCCCTGCTGAGCCTGTATTTGTGCTTGGGTTTGCCCTGACCCAGATGTAGGACCTTGCACTTGGCCTTGTTGAACTGCATGATGTTGGCTTGGGCCCACCTCTCCAGCCTGTCCACGTCCCAGCGCATCCCTGCCCTCCAGCGTGTCAACCTCACCAAACAGCTTGGTATTATTGGCAAACTTGCTGAGGGTGCACTCGACCCCACTGTCCATGTCGCCGACAAAGATGTTGAACAGTACAGGTCCCAGTACCAACCCCTGAGGAACACCACTCATCACTGCTTTCCACTTGGACATTGAGCTGTTGACCGCAAGTCTTTGAGTGCAACCATCCAGCCAGTTCTTTATCCACCGAGTGGTCCATTTGTTGAATCCATGTCTCTTCAATTTAGAGACCAGGATATCATGTGGGACAGTGTCAAATGCTCTGCACAAGTCCAGGTAGATGACATCCGTTGATCTTCCCTTGTCTACTGCGGCTGTAACCCCTTCGTAGAAGGCTACCAAATTTGTCAGGCATGACTTGCCCTTGGTAAAGCCATGCTGGCTGTCACCAATCACCTCCTTGTTTCCCATGTGCTTCAGCAGAGTTTCCAGGAGGATCTGCTCCATGATCTTGCCAGGCACAGAGGTGAGACTGACTGGCCTGTAGTTCCCTGGGTCTTCCTTCTTTCCCTTTTTGAAAATAGAGGTTATGTTTCCCCTTTTCCAGTTGGCAGGAACCTCACCAGACCACCACGACTTCTCAAATATGATGGCTAGTGGCTTAGCGACTTCATCTGCCAATTTCCTCAGGACCCACGCACTTGTGCACCTTCAGGTTCCTCACGTGGTCTCTCACTTGATCTTCACCTACAGTGGGCGGTTCTACATTTTCCCAATCCTCGCCTTTACATTCTGCATGATCGGTACTGCAGGTGCAGTCCTTGCCAGTGAAAACAGAGGCAAAAAAAGTCGTTGAGGACCTCAGCTCTGTCTCTGTCCCGGGTAA